TGTCCTGCAGGTCATCCCACAGGGAGGCTCCATGCAGAGGAGTCTGACCTATTCCTACTTTCCCAGCATGCTTGAAACCACAGACACGAGTGCCCTGAGGCATCTGCTCCCAATCATCAGGACATCCCCCCACGGTCAACCCCCTACTCCAAAGCAGCTCCTGGGTCTGGCAGGAGGTGTAGACAATTCACCCAACAGAGCCCCGGCTGCTGCTCTGCCCTCCTGCAGAGAAGACCTCCATGACAGGGAGGGCAGGGGAACAGAAGAGCTGGGACCGGTGAGCCCACTCAATCATTCAGGCTGGAAGCTGGGGGTGGACCTCTGTGAGGTCAGCAAAGAGATACAAGTTGGCCCTAAGGGGCCCCACTCTCTTGCAAGAGCGAACGGCCGGGAGACCGAGCTCCCCAGGGCATACAGAGAAGGCTGCCCTTTTCAGGGTGGCCTCCCACGAGGGGGCCTGAAGAAAGGAAGCCACGCATGGAGTAGACAGGGAAGCCCCAGCATATCCACTCCTCCACGCATGGCCCGGGTGACCCCAGCAACAAGGCCCCCAGGAGGAGCTGGAAGAGCAGAGGGGCAGGAAGTTGGTGGGGAGGGCAGGAGTGGGGCACAAGAGGGGCAGAGGATGGGCTCTACCTGGGCAGCGAAACTCAGACAGATTGTGAGGCCGGGGGTGGTGAAGTGGTTTGAGGTTGTGCAAAGTTGGTGGAGACAGAGAACCACCCTGCTGCTGTCCCAGCATTTCCCAGCCTCCCCTGGGCTGACCCCACAGCCCGATGCCCGAGGTCCCTGAGAAATAAGGCCCACCGATGACTTGCCAGCTGGATGGAGGCACCAGCTCAGACACCAGCAGGATGGCAAGGTGGGGAGGGGGCATCCACAGAGTCCCCAACTCTCTCTGGACTCAAGTGGAAAGAGCACAGCAGGCAGTGTAAGACCACAAAGTGGGTGTGCCTCAAACCAGCTCTGGAAGAAAATAAAGCATGCCAAGAAAGACTCCCCAAATCCTCATTCCTTAATCCTGACCAGCACTAATGTAGTAGAGACAATGCCACTAAGATTCCTCATCAGGACCTCTAGACCTGGCCTATGATGGTGGCTAAGGCGTCAAGGGTAAATCCACCCATAAGGAAAACATCTGGACGCTCATTCGGTTCGGGGATAACCCAGTAGCATCAGAAGCCACAGCCTTGGCGTGATCACAAACAGCTCTCCTCCCACCTCAGCCCATCTTCCTTCCCCATCATCACCTGAGGCCTGTGAGAGCAGAGCCAAGGACCATTCCGTCCTGATTTCTTTCCTCCTCAGGCTGGCTCCCTTTTGCATTAACTGACTATGCTCAGGGGTCATGCCATTTTCCTTCTCAAGAGAGCCAGGCCTGCATGGTGAATTCCTCCCCCAGTAACAGATATCAGCCAAAGACAGGCAAACAGGAAGACCACAGCCCCGTGGAAAAGAGCAGAGAACTTCCGAAAGCAGCAGCTCAAGCACAAGGTTAGCAGTCTTCATCATCTGGGGAAAAGAAAGTGTGTCCCTCTCCCCAGGGCCTTTGAGTGGGAACTGCCACCATCAGTGCAGAATAACCCAGTCTGGGCGGGGTGCCTGAGGCCACCCTGTCCACCCTCCTGCTTCCAGACCAGTTAGCAAAGCCAACCAGACACAGAGAGTTCTCCAGCAAAAGAGGCTGTTACCCATCCCTCCCCAGGGTCCACTGAACATCTGAGTTCCGCCAGCTGTTGATTCTTCATTCTGAGCTAAACCCTCTTGTCACAACAGAGTCCGTTTTCTCTGCAAGGCTGGGGAACAAATGTTCACCTCCCCTACAACAGACCCACGCTATAGGTGGTTTCCAGTCAGAAGACCCAGCCCCATCTCAGAACTTCTCCCCTCCGAGATACAACTTCTCGCTCCACTGACAAGTCTTAGTTCCCAAGCTATCAAGGCCCCAACTAATTCTGGAGCCAGAGTTAGATAACAGAGGAAAAAGACATCTCTTTTCCTCTCATCTTCATCATTAATAACAATAACAGTAGGTCCTGTATGGAGTGCCTTACACTAATTCACTCTCCCCACTTGACAGCTGCGGAGACAGGCTCAGAGAAGCTACATGGCTTGTCCAAGATCACACATTGGAGGTGGCAGAGCTAGGATTCAAACTTTGGTCTGCTTCTTTAAAACAATCCTATTTGCCCCCAGGAGGAGAGGGAATAGCTACCTTAACCCCTCCTGGGTCCACAGGGCCTGCCGCAGACACCCAGAAAATACTTGTTCCAATAATGACTCAGTGCCCGGTTGGATAGAGGATGGAAGGGCTGGTGAGCGGGTGAGCCCTGCTCATCACAACAGATACCGACCCCAAGGTGCACAGGAGGTGGCCGCCTCACGAGCTGAGGCAGGCAGGACTTCCCAGGTTGCTGCCCCCTCCATTCTTCCATCAGCCAGAGGGTCATCAATTTAAAATTAGGCAAAGTCCACCCCTTGGATCACCTCACCCTTCCTTTGCGCCAGAGTCTGCTGTCTCCGGCTCTGGGAAAGCCCCTTTCCCTGAATACTCCATCAGGGAGGCACCTGCTCTAGCAGCAACCCTCCCGCCCCATTAAAACAAATGTGCACAGACCAATCCCACGCTGGGAGCTGTCTCTAGGAAGGGCCATTCCCCTAAGAGCTCTGACCACAGGGTTCACTAAAAGAGAGGGTGCTTGTCTTGCCCCTTCTCCCCACCCCCCCAGCACTTGGGCCTTCATAAGCTTCCCCCAGCAAGGGCTCCTGGTCCCCAGAGGGTGCCTGGAGGGAGCCAGAATTGTGCCCAGGGCGGCTGCCAGGCCTGCCGAGGCTAGCAGCCCCCTCTCCTGGAGCGCCCAGTGGGAGAAGGCAGCGAGCAGAAGGACCCGCAGATTCAGAGGCTCATTACAGGGAATGACTAAGTGAGCTGCGATTCCAGGGGAAACCCCACTCGCTCCGGCTCACTGAGGGGCTCAAATCCTTGAGCCATTTAGACGAAGGCAGCTTCCAGGAGCTGCCCTGGGCTAGGGCAGTCCTCTCTGAGCAGCCAGGTCCCTGGAGGACCCTCCACCTGGAAGTCTTGATTCTGGCTATTCAGGTCATCTGACAGGTCTGCCCCACCCCTTTCCAGAGCGGGCAAATCTGCTCATCCTCTGCTCCAGCTAGCGAGAGGCTGGGAATGGGGGAAATCCGATCAGCACCTCCTAGGTTTTTGTGGCTGGATTTCAACAAGGAATGTGACAGTCTCGCAGCAGCTGTGCCCAGCCTGAAACAAGCTCTATTTGAAACCTCCAACAGCTGAACCCCTCCCAGCTACCCGCTGCCCAAAATGACAAATAAGTAGAGAAATCCAAACAACAAGCAAGCCTGCACACACACACACACACACACACACACACACACACTCACTCTCACACCAACAAATTGGGGGTGAAGGGTAGAGTGGGGAAAAAATCCACTTGCCCAGTGACTCCCCAGGTCTCCAAGCCTTCAAGCTCGCAGCAGGAGGGCTCCCAGCAAGCAGAGCTGTGACAGAAACCCACCTTCCTCAAGCCCCACTCACTTGGAGGACGCGATTTCCAAGCCCACTCGGGAAGGGAAACCCCCTCCTCCGTCTTGGGACTGGACAGAGGCTGGGGCAGTGGGGCCAGCTCCCCCGCTAAAGCCGTGCCGCCGTTCTCCATCGGGGCGCGCACTCACACACTCATCCTTATTTATCCCGAGAAGAAGGAGTTGGGGTGGGAGGGGAGAACTGGTGCTGAGCCGGGGGCATGAGCTCTCGGGGACTCCCAGGAAGCCCTGTCATCCCATCCGAAGAAGAGGCACTCCCCCCCACCCCAGCTGATGCCAAGGCGGCGCCCATCTGCTCTGCCCGGGTAACACCTGTAGCCATTTTTATCAGGGGATGTTTACAAGGCAGCAGCAGGTTTATTCCGAGTCCTCTTTCCTGAGAGAAAAGACCGCTGATTTCCTCCGCCTACATTTTTACCCCATGCCCCCAGGAGACTCAAGTCACCGGTGCTTTTCTATTTTGCCCTAAGTCTCTCAGGGATGAGGAGGGAAACAAACTTGGGAAGAGAGAGAGAAGACAGAGAGAGAAGGGACTGGCATGGAATCCCCACCCCCCCACCCAGACATTTATTTCTTTTTTATCCTCGGGAAAATGGAGTGGAGCAGGGAGGAGAGGAGAGGAGGGGAAGTCACAGGAACTGGCAAGCACATCAAGGCAGAGTGTAATTAATTGGTGCGTTAAGCTGCTAGGTTATGCTTTAGTACGAGTGAGCCAGGAGGAAAGATGATTTCTCAGAAGGGATTCTTTAATCCTCCCTAACACAGAGTCTACCAATTAGACACAGTGTGTGGGGATGTCCCCCCTCCCAAGGAAGCAAGGAATGAATTCTCCCGGGATTAAGCAGGAAAACCATGGGAAGTTAGAGGGTTCCATATAACTGAGCAAACGCCTCTCCCCAGCACCATCTCTCTCTCTCCCCCAATCTCTCTCTTTCTTTCTCTTTCTCTCTCT